CTCGCGCTAGTTTGCGCCCAGTATCCTGTGCACACCCCTTGCAAACGAAGGCTCCGTGAGTCTGACTTCCAGTTCCAGCGTGCAAGTTGAATGGATCGCGCAATTACCATTGCTGCTGGAACATCTATGCTAAAGGATTGGCTCTCAAATATAAACTTACTCAAAATCAAACAGAACATATTGTATCACGTTGCCCAACTTGTCAAATTATTAATCAGCCAAAATTTTCAGCAGAAGTCAATCCTCGAGGACTTTCTCCAAATGAATTATGGCAAATGGATGTAACTCATATTCCAAAATTTGGAAAATTAGGAATAGTACTTGTTACAGTAAATACTTTTTCAGGTTATATTTGCGCTGCGCCATCTACTGAAAAAACAGTTGAACATGTTATATCTCATATGTATAATTGCTTTGCCATTATGGGCATACCAAACACTGTTAAACCTGACAATGGACCTGTATATTCTTCACGTTCTTTTTCCACCTTTTGTTCTCATTGGAATATAAAACATATAACTGGTATTCCATATAACCCTCAAGGTCAAAAAATCATTGAATGTACATATTTAACTCTTAAAAACATTATCAAAACAAAAAGAGGAAGGGATACAGTCTCCTTAAGATAGATTAAACCAAGCTTTATTTACCTTAAATTTTTTAAACATTAAAAAAGATGACACTAGTACTAGCAGTAAAAAAACATTGGTCCCAAGTATTAAAAAAATCTGCTAATTATCAACCTATATGGTGGAAAGATGGTAATACAAATGTGTGGACAAAGGGATGGGCTAAAACGTGGGGTCGAGGTTATGCTTGTGTCTTAACAAAAAAATAGATGATATGGATACCGAGCCGGCATCTCAAACCCAAAACAAAAGATGCCAAAAATCATGAAGGATGCGATCGAGGCGGAGCTAAAGCAACTGGCCATAGCTCCTCCGAAAAAGCCACCCCGACCCTCTCATAAGCCCCGACAAGCCCCACTTGTGACCTGGGGTCACCTGAAGAGAATCTGTGAGAAAGCAAATGAGACCTTGGCTCAGACTAATACTCCAAAAACGTCTGTAACTTTTTTCCTTGCCCTTATCTCCGTCCTGAGCATGACGATAGGTGGCAGTACAAACCAATCTTTTCGTTATTGGGCATATGTACCCAATCCACCTTCAAATAAAATCATTACTTGGACGGATTCACCTTTTCCTATTTTTGCCAATGATTCTAATTGGATGCCAGGACCATATGATTATAGGGGACCTGCCTTCCCTAGAGAGGAAGGACTCCGTATTGATCAATATAAAGTAGGTACAGAGGGGCCACCTATTTGTATAAGAAAAGGTCAACATTGCATAAAACCTCAACCACAAACCTAACTGGTGTCTGTAGTAAAACCTAAGAATAATATCCATTATTATTTTTATACAGGCAACTACTTTTGCGTTCACTACCAAATATCGTAACAATCCTCTGGATATACCATTTTGTAAAAACCAAAAGTATCTGACTCTAAAGACTGGGTACACTGGGAGGATTGTTGAGGCTCTTTGGGCTGCATAATTGCAGGATCATCCTTTGGCCCTGGAGTCCTTATGGCCAACCTTTCTCTGCTAAAACATTTTCTTATCTGACTTGGAAAAAGAATGAGAAAGGGACTTCTATCACCGTAACAGACAATCATACAGGAGATGCTATTACTTGGATGGTGGATGGGTTAGCAGCTCCTGCCCCACATATGCTCAAAGGCCCAATCCATAATCAATTTTAAAAACTAATGGCTGGGCCAGGCACGGTGGCTCATGCCTGTAATCCTAGCACTCTGGGAGGCTGAGTCGGGAGGA